GATCCTCAGCCCAATAGGGGCTTGTCGTAAGAGGCGACAGAAGGGTGTAGTTTAAGGGGTAGACTTAGGCTCTGAATTTTCTGAGAGGCTGGACTTTAAGTTGGTGTGTGCTTAAAAAGTACAACCTCCCAGAAAATTCTTCCCTTTAGGTGTTAGGAGGGTTTGGTTAGAAGAGGGTCTTTTTAGTTATTCTGTTTGTATTTGATTGGTTAAAGTTCTTTTCATTTGATTGGTTAAGCTTCTTGACGTCATTTTGTGTTAGGAGAGGGCGGTGGGAGGTTGGTCTATTTAGCTTGTGGGGTCATCATTTTCTGTTAGAAGGTTTGGGTTAGAGGGAGGTATTTTAAGTTAGTCTTTTGTATTTGATTGGTTAAAGTTCTTTTCATTTGATTGGTTAAGCTTCTTGACGTCATTTTGTGTTAGGAGAGGGCGGTGGGAGGTTGGTCTATTTAGCTTGTGGGGTCATCATTTTCTGTTAGAAGGTTTGGGTTAGAGGGAGGTATTTTAAGTTAGTCTTTTGTATTTGATTGGTTAAAGTTCTTTTCATTTGATTGGTTAAGCTTCTTGACGTCATTTTGTGTTAGGAGAGGGCGGTGGGAGGTTGGTCTATTTAGCTTGTGGGGTCATCATTTTCTGTTAGAAGGTTTGGGTTAGAGGGAGGTATTTTAAGTTAGTCTTTTGTATTTGATTGGTTAAAGTTCTTTTCATTTGATTGGTTAAGCTTCTTGACGTCATTTTGTGTTAGGAGAGGGCGGTGGGAGGTTGGTCTATTTAGCTTGTGGGGTCATCATTTTCTGTTAGAAGGTTTGGGTTAGAGGGAGGTATTTTAAGTTAGGCTTTTGTATTTGATTGGTTAAAGTTCTTTTCATTTGATTGGTTAAGCTTCTTGACGTCATTTTGTGTTAGGAGAGGGCGGTGGGAGGTTGGTCTATTTAGCTTGTGGGGTCATCATTTTCTGTTAGAAGGTTTGGGTTAGAGGGAGGTATTTTAAGTTAGTCTTTTGTATTTGATTGGTTAAAGTTCTTTTCATTTGATTGGTTAAGCTTCTTGACGTCATTTTGTGTTAGGAGAGGGCGGTGGGAGGTTGGTCTATTTAGCTTGTGGGGTCATCATTTTCTGTTAGAAGGTTTGGGTTAGAGGGAGGTATTTTAAGTTAGTCTTTTGTATTTGATTGGTTAAAGTTCTTTTCATTTGATTGGTTAAGCTTCTTGACGTCATTTTGTGTTAGGAGAGGGCGGTGGGAGGTTGGTCTATTTAGCTTGTGGGGTCATCATTTTCTGTTAGAAGGTTTGGGTTAGAGGGAGGTATTTTAAGTTAATCTCCTTGTATTTGATTGGTTAAGCTCCTTGGGGATCAGGAACTTAGAGAATAGATCCTCAGCCCAATAGGGGCTTGTCGTAAGAGGCGACAGAAGGGTGTAGTTTAAGGGGTAGACTTAGGCTCTGAATTTTCTGAGAGGCTGGACTTTAAGTTGGTGTGTGCTTAAAAAGTGCAACCTCCCAGAAAATTCTTCCCTTTAGGTGTTAGGAGGGTTGGGTTAGAAGAGGGTCTTTTTAGTTATTCTGTTTGTATTTGATTGGTTAAAGTTCTTTTCATTTGATTGGTTAAGCTTCTTGACGTCATTTTGTGTTAGGAGAGGGCGGTGGGAGGTTGGTCTATTTAGCTTGTGGGGTCATCATTTTCTGTTAGAAGGTTTGGGTTAGAGGGAGGTATTTTAAGTTAGTCTTTTCTATTTGATTGGTTAAAGTTCTTTTCATTTGATTGGTTAAGCTTCTTGACGTCATTTTGTGTTAGGAGAGGGCGGTGGGAGGTTGGTCTATTTAGCTTGTGGGGTCATCATTTTCTGTTAGAAGGTTTGGGTTAGAGGGAGGTATTTTAAGTTAGTCTTTTCTATTTGATTGGTTAAAGTTCTTTTCATTTGATTGGTTAAGCTTCTTGACGTCATTTTGTGTTAGGAGAGGGCGGTGGGAGGTTGGTCTATTTAGCTTGTGGGGTCATCATTTTCTGTTAGAAGGTTTGGGTTAGAGGGAGGTATTTTAAGTTAATCTCCTTGTATTTGATTGGTTAAGCTCCTTGGGGATCAGGAACTTAGAGAATAGATCCTCAGCCCAATAGGGGCTTGTCGTAAGAGGCGACAGAAGGGTGTAGTTTAAGGGGTAGACTTAGGCTCTGAATTTTCTGAGAGGCTGGACTTTAAGTTGGTGTGTGCTTAAAAAGTACAACCTCCCAGAAAATTCTTCCCTTTAGGTGTTAGGAGGGTTGGGTTAGAAGAGGGTCTTTTTAGTTATTCTGTTTGTATTTGATTGGTTAAAGTTCTTTGCATTTGATTGGTTAAGCTTCTTGACGTCATTTTGTGTTAGGAGAGGGCGGTGGGAGGTTGGTCTATTTAGCTTGTGGGGTCATCATTTTCTGTTAGAAGGTTTGGGTTAGAGGGAGGTATTTTAAGTTAGTCTTTTGTATTTGATTGGTTAAAGTTCTTTTCATTTGATTGGTTAAGCTTCTTGACGTCATTTTGTGTTAGGAGAGGGCGGTGGGAGGTTGGTCTATTTAGCTTGTGGGGTCATCATTTTCTGTTAGAAGGTTTGGGTTAGAGGGAGGTATTTTAAGTTAGTCTTTTGTATTTGATTGGTTAAAGTTCTTTTCATTTGATTGGTTAAGCTTCTTGACGTCATTTTGTGTTAGGAGAGGGCGGTGGGAGGTTGGTCTATTTAGCTTGTGGGGTCATCATTTTCTGTTAGAAGGTTTGGGTTAGAGGGAGGTATTTTAAGTTAGTCTTTTGTATTTGATTGGTTAAAGTTCTTTTCATTTGATTGGTTAAGCTTCTTGACGTCATTTTGTGTTAGGAGAGGGCGGTGGGAGGTTGGTCTATTTAGCTTGTGGGGTCATCATTTTCTGTTAGAAGGTTTGGGTTAGAGGGAGGTATTTTAAGTTAGTCTTTTGTATTTGATTGGTTAAAGTTCTTTTCATTTGATTGGTTAAGCTTCTTGACGTCATTTTGTGTTAGGAGAGGGCGGTGGGAGGTTGGTCTATTTAGCTTGTGGGGTCATCATTTTCTGTTAGAAGGTTTGGGTTAGAGGGAGGTATTTTAAGTTAGGCTTTTGTATTTGATTGGTTAAAGTTCTTTTCATTTGATTGGTTAAGCTTCTTGACGTCATTTTGTGTTAGGAGAGGGCGGTGGGAGGTTGGTCTATTTAGCTTGTGGGGTCATCATTTTCTGTTAGAAGGTTTGGGTTAGAGGGAGGTATTTTAAGTTAGTCTTTTGTATTTGATTGGTTAAAGTTCTTTTCATTTGATTGGTTAAGCTTCTTGACGTCATTTTGTGTTAGGAGAGGGCGGTGGGAGGTTGGTCTATTTAGCTTGTGGGGTCATCATTTTCTGTTAGAAGGTTTGGGTTAGAGGGAGGTATTTTAAGTTAGTCTTTTGTATTTGATTGGTTAAAGTTCTTTTCATTTGATTGGTTAAGCTTCTTGACGTCATTTTGTGTTAGGAGAGGGCGGTGGGAGGTTGGTCTATTTAGCTTGTGGGGTCATCATTTTCTGTTAGAAGGTTTGGGTTAGAGGGAGGTATTTTAAGTTAATCTCCTTGTATTTGATTGGTTAAGCTCCTTGGGGATCAGGAACTTAGAGAATAGATCCTCAGCCCAATAGGGGCTTGTCGTAAGAGGCGACAGAAGGGTGTAGTTTAAGGGGTAGACTTAGGCTCTGAATTTTCTGAGAGGCTGGACTTTAAGTTGGTGTGTGCTTAAAAAGTGCAACCTCCCAGAAAATTCTTCCCTTTAGGTGTTAGGAGGGTTGGGTTAGAAGAGGGTCTTTTTAGTTATTCTGTTTGTATTTGATTGGTTAAAGTTCTTTGCATTTGATTGGTTAAGCTTCTTGACGTCATTTTGTGTTAGGAGAGGGCGGTGGGAGGTTGGTCTATTTAGCTTGTGGGGTCATCATTTTCTGTTAGAAGGTTTGGGTTAGAGGGAGGTATTTTAAGTTAGTCTTTTCTATTTGATTGGTTAAAGTTCTTTTCATTTGATTGGTTAAGCTTCTTGACGTCATTTTGTGTTAGGAGAGGGCGGTGGGAGGTTGGTCTATTTAGCTTGTGGGGTCATCATTTTCTGTTAGAAGGTTTGGGTTAGAGGGAGGTATTTTAAGTTAGTCTTTTCTATTTGATTGGTTAAAGTTCTTTTCATTTGATTGGTTAAGCTTCTTGACGTCATTTTGTGTTAGGAGAGGGCGGTGGGAGGTTGGTCTATTTAACTTGTGGGGTCATCATTTTCTGTTAGAAGGTTTGAGTTAGAGGGAGGTATTTTAAGTTAGTCTTTTCTATTTGATTGGTTAAAGTTCTTTTCATTTGATTGGTTAAGCTTTTTGATGTCATTTTGTGTTAGGAGAGGGCGGTGGGAGGTTGGTCTATTGTGGGGTCACCATTTTGTGTTAGGAGGATTGGGTTAGAGGGTTGTCTTTTAAGTTTGCCCCTTTGTATTAAATAGGTTTAGCCCCTTGGGTTTCAAGGGTTTAGAGAATAGATCCTCAGCCCATTAGGTTCGTGATGTAAGAGGCAACAGAAGGGTGTAGTTTTTGTTCTTAAATGGTAGACTTAAGGCCTAAATTATTAAGGGTTTGTTACACTTCTCCTTCTTCCTATCTCCCTTTTGCTTTTTGCATAGGAGGGGTAATATACACTTTCCTTCTTCTGTCCGGAACCTTAGTTGTAAGAATACAATAATATTGATAACAAAAAATCACTTTTTGTGACATTGATTTCCACATTCTGTGGTTAAAAAAACAAAATTAAAATCCAAAATGTAATTTAAATGCTTTTGAAATTTTTAATGGTCATTTTTAACATTTTTTGGAAGTATTGTATTAAAAGAGAATTAATTGCAACTTTAATATGAATCTTTCACACAATAAGTCTTATTTCTTTATGGTAATTTGGTAAAAATGCATTACCATTACATTAGGCCTGGCTCTTACTGTTCATATGAAACACTGCCAGCTGATTTCTTTCAGAAAAGAAGAATTCAGCATACAATAGATTCTTTTACCAATGTGCCCCCTGGAAAAGGCTACTGGACACAAATATTAGCATTAACATATGTGTACTTTAATTTAGGACAAGTGAGTCAGGTAAGTCAGCACCACTTTTAAACAAACTTATGACAGGTCTAATTAAAAGATTGAGTGATCACTTGATCTTTTTGTTTCACTTTTTAGTCCAAGTGATGATCTGATTGCAATTTTGTCATTTATACAACTACCCTTTTGATATACTTATCATATACTGAGAAACTGATCTGTTTAAACAAAGAGCCATAAACATTTCCAAGGGGAGATAATTCAGAAATGATGAAAATTGGGTTGCAACATTTTAAATCTCAAGCACCACTGGGCCAGACAGATGAAATGTGAAGGTTTTGTGAGATAGTGTTGATTCAAGTTTGTTCAAATCATGATGATTGGGGGGGGGGGGGGCACCATGTGCTTTTAAATATGTTGATTTTTTGGCATGTCTTGTGATATTAATGACTTACATTTGAGGTTTGAGTTTTGCATTCATTGTCCCATCGTTATCAAAGTTATTACTTTTAAAGGCAGAGATTTTTCCTGGGTGGTAAATTCCCGGTTAGGGAGGGGCTTATTTTGTACAGGTGTGAATGCCTTGAGTGCTAGCAGTGTATCTGTGATCATTTGTTTCCTAATACTGTGATTTAATACACAATAAAATACCCAAGAAGTCAAACTTTTGGTTTTTTAAGTTTGGATTCACACTTTATACTTTATACGTTCATACCTGGGAGTTCATCTATAATTTATAAAAATAGAGCTGTTAGCTGCATTTTTTGAAGATAAAGGTACAATGTATATCCTAATTTTTGTCACCATGTCAAAACATCTAAACATGCTCAAAGAAAGAGTTGCTTCTAAAGTCTTATCTAAAATATAAAGCAAAATTACAAGGTAGTCATGATTAGAAACTTTAAATTTAATTACATGACATTTCCACTATACATATATAATGGATATTTTTAGCATATCCCAATTAATGTTTTCTCAATTCAGGTTTGAATACTGAATCGATTATACTGTAAATGTAAATTTATTTTGAAAAAAAAAGTTATTTATACCAAAGTTTGATATATTATCATGAAGAAAATTATAGTTATTTCAAATACTAAAAGTTATTATCAAGCTAAAAATTTCCAATAGTAATCATAGTAATACATCTCCATATGTGGAAAATGTCAAAGGACCAAAGGTCACCATGACTGCCAAACAAAGTGTATAGGGTAAACATGGGGACTAGTAAGTAAATGTCAATCAAGTTTTAGCACCTAATGATGGACCTTAATGCACTTGATTGACAGAGGTACACAGACCAGGTATTTTTGAAGGTCGTGCTTAAAATCTCCGCCTTTAAGACTGTATCTTGGGGCCCTTTCGAGTATTAGATTTGGTTCTGTGTGTCTTACATGTATCTTGTCTGTCCATCATTCATGCAATAAAGATTTAAAGTTTTACACTGGAATATATAGGGAAAATCTTCTTTTCAAGAACAACAAAGCCATGATTAGTCATAATGATATGGAAGCATCTTCAGGAAGTGTAGATTCAAATTGTTAAAATCATGATCCCCAGGGTAGGGTGGGCCATAATGATAAAGTTTTACGTAGGACTACATAGAAAAAATCTTTAAAAATCTTTTCTCAAGAACAACAAAGCTATAATTAGTCTTGGGTGATATGGAAGCATCTTCAGATAGTGTAAGATTTAAATTTGTCCAAATCATGACCCTCAGGGCTATGGTTGGGGCCAAAATGGGGGATCAAAGTTGTACATAAGAATATATTTGAAAAAGTCTTCCAACATCTCAAGAATAACAAAGCCATTAATATTAGTAATCTGCTGATGAAGAACGACAAGGTATATTGACTCAGGTAGCATTGTGCCCCATGGGCCTCTTCTTATAGAATTTCCAATCAGAAAAGTGTTTTAACAATCAGACAACTGATACCAGAAAATAAAAAGAAATATATGCATTAAAGAACAGGTCTGGACGATTTCCAAATATAGAAGTCAAGAACGATAACCGTGAATTGCTATAAATACACAGAATAAAGAAGGTGCAAATCCTTCTGACCAATCAGATAACAGCATTTAGACAAACCCATGAGCAAATAAATAAAACACGTGGTTTTAAAGTTTTCTGCTCAAAAGATTTTTTAAAACAAACTTTTTGTAAACTTCATGCACATTTACGAATGATATAGTATACTTGACAATTCTACCGTGAACAAACCGACTTGAAAGCTTAGAATAAATTCTAAGTGGGATTAAAAATTTGTCACTACGAGGTAGCAATCCCAAAAGTTTAACTTGTGCTAAGAAATTTAATGTAAATACGGCAGATTTTCAGTTTTTAGAACCTGACATGAAAATGTTTTTGTATGGGAATATAACAGTCTTACATGTAATTATTTCCTGAGTGCTTATTACAAAATCGTCCATGCAGTTTCTGGTATGCGAGGTAAGATACGGTGATAAAAAGCATTCATCTACATTCCCTTTTCTCCACGTTTTACACCTTTCCTTATGTCCATTTAAAGTGTATATAACATGGTTTTCGGCACTTATGAAACCCGTGTTATTCTAAAATGACATGTAATCCAAACGATGAATACTCTATATCTATACGCATGGAAACTACGCGTTATTGATGAAAATCGGACGTCAAAGCAAAATTATATTTACCAACGAAGAGTATGTTCTGGTAAATGTTATAATTGTACTTGACAATAGCTTGACAATGTGATCTATTCTTCCGTAAACGATCGCATTGTTACATGCATTAATTTTTTTTTTCTTTTCCAAGATGAAAATGTCAAGTTTGTTCACGGTAAATATGTGGGGAATACCTTATTCTTCCAAACTTTTCATCTTACTTCTAAAGATTTTTTGTCAAAAAAATCTTTCTGATGAAAAAAACAAAAGCACGTGTTCTCTTTTTGTTCCTTTGAAATATGTTTTGGGGTGAGTAAAAATGCTGTTTTCTGATTTGGCGGAGAAATATTTACGTGTATATGATGTATATTTATAGCAACTTTCAGTTATCGATCTTGACTTCCATATTTGGAAATCGTCCAGACCTGAAGAAAGGTAAATGTTTGTACTACACAGTTGATTCAACTCAAAATGAATTATGACTTTTTCTTTTAGAGAGGGATTGTGACATAGTGTAGATTGCTGACACTTGTTGGAAGGATACCTTTCAGTTACCTACAATTCTACCAACTGGAAAAATCAGTACTAATGCCACTTGTGTTACTGGACTATTAGTCGAGTATGGAGTTCTTTATTGAAACAGTTCTCAAGTACTGACTAACAGCTCGACTTCATGAATTTTACAAAACAGTGCTCAAGTATTGACTTTCATCGTAATGGACTCCACAAAACGGTACTCTAATACAGACTGTATCTCTCCATACCGAACTTCCTTTTTTTTTTTTTTACCTTATTTGATTAAATTTAGCAATTTTTGTGGTAGTACTCATAACTGTAAAAATTTAACTGAATAAAAGATTAACTGTGAAATAAGAAGAATGTTTCTTTTACACACTGCCATTTTCATCTCATCAGCTGTCAAGTAAGCTTTTCTGATCACCCGTGCTTGATGTATGTCTATATGTATATTAGTCCATCTATTACTAGTAACTTTCCACTTTTTAAAAAAACTTTTTCTTGCGAACTACTATCCATGGGTAAAAAGACTTCAATATTTTTCGAAGGAAGGACCATGCCCAATTCAAAGGAGAGATAATCAAGAAAATGCAAAATTGGGGTCATCAAAAATTCCTCGGGAACCTCTGAGCTAGGAGTATACGATATGGCCTACAATAAAAAGCATTTACAAACATCCAAAAATATTTCAATATTTTATGATATTTAGTAAATCTAGCTATAAATAAATACAAGTTATTAGGTCACCTGAGTCACTCAGGTGACCTATTGCTATCTGTTTTCGTCCGTCGTGCGTTAACTTTTGAACATTTTTAGCTTCTTCTCTGAAACCACTGAACCATTTTCAACCAAATTTGGCATATAGCATCTATGGATGAAGGGGAACAAAAATTGTGAATTTCATGGTCTCTGCCCCCCTTGGGCCTGAGGGGTGGGGCTAAAACCACCAAAATTAATGCAATCTTTAAAAATCTTCTTTACTCCTGGACATCAAGCAGTCAAACTGTTGGTATAATTGTAATAAGCATTGAGCCCTCTACCAAAATTGTGAAATTCATGGCCCCAGGGTCAGGGGTTCTGGTGATAGGGTGGGGCTATATAGATCATATAGTGAAAGTGCATTATTTCTTTGAAAATCTTCTTCTCTGCTTCTGGGTATTCAGTAAACTAACTAAGTACATAGTTATAATGAGCAAGAGTGCCTTTTCCAAAATTGTGAATTTCATGGCCCCAGGGTCAGGGGTTCTGGTGTTAGGGCGGGGCTCTATTGATTATATAGTGAAAAATGCATTAATTCTTTGAAAATCTTCTTCTCTGCTTCTGGGTATTAAATAAACTTAGTGCATAGTTATGAAGAGCAAGAGTGCTTCTTCCAAAATTGTGAAATTCATGGCCCCAGGGTCAGGGGTTCTGGTGCTAGGGTGGGGCTAAATAGATCATATAGTGAAAGTGCATTATTTCTATGAAAATCTTCTTATCTGCTCCTGGGTATAAAATAAACTAACTAAGTACATAGTTATGGAGAGCAAGAGTGCCTCTTCCAAAATTGTGAATTTCATGGCCCCTGGGTCAGGGATTCTGGTGTTAGGGTGGGGCTCTATTGATTATATAGTGAAAATGCATTAATTCTTTAAAAATCTTCTTCTCTGCTTCTGGGTATTAAATAGACTTAGTGCATAGTTATGATGAGCAAGAGCACCTCTTCCAAAATTGTAAATTTCATGGCCCCTGGGTCAGGGGTTCTGGTGTTAGGGCAGGGCTCTATTAATTATATAGTGAAAATGCATTAATTCTTTGAAAATCTTCTTCTTTGCTCCTGGGTATTCAATAAACTAAGTACATAGTTATGGAGAGCAAGAGTGCCTCTTCCAAAATTGTGAAATTCATGGCCCCAGGGTCAGGGGTTCTGGTGTTAGGGCGGGGCTCTATTAATCATATAGTGAAAATACATTAATTCACTGAAAATTTTCTCTGCTCCTGGGTATTTTAAAAACTAACTAAAAACTTATTTATGGTGAGCATGGCTGCCTTTTCAGAAATTGTGAATTTCATGGCCCCTGGGTCAGGGGTTCTGGTGTTAGGGTGGGGCTCTATTGATTATACAGTAAAATTGCATTAATACTTTGAAAATCTTCTTCTCTGTTCCTGGGTATTAAATAAACTAACTTAGTGCATAGTTATGAAGAGCAAGAGTGCCTCTTCCAAAATTGTGAATTTAATGGCCCTTTGGTCAGGGGTTCTGGTGTTGGGGCCGGGCTCTATTGATACATATAGTGAAAATGCATTAATTCTTTGAAAATTTTCTTCTCTGCTCCTGGATATTAAATAAACTAAGTACAAAGTTATGATGAGCATGGCTGCCTCCTCAGAAATTATGAATTTCATGGCCCTTGGGTCAGGGGTTCTGGTGTTAGGACAGAGCTCTATTGATTATATAGGGAAAATGCATAAAATCTTTCAAAATCTTCTTCTCTGCACTTGGGTATTTTTCAAACAAAGATAGTGCATGGTTATGATACAGAAAAATGCCTCTTCCAAAATTGTGAAGTCATGGCCCGTGGGTCAGGGGATATGGTGAAGGGGGGGGGGGGCTCTATTGATTATATAGTGAAAATGCATAATTTCTTTCAAAATATTTTTTTGTACTACTGGTTATAAAGCAAAGAAACAAGTGTAAAGTTATGATGTGCAAGGGTGTTTCTTCCAGAATTGTGAGTTCGTGGTCAGATGTTCTGGTGTAAGGATGGGGTTTTATTTATTTAAAAATAAAGTGAAAATGCATTTCTTTGAAAATCTTCTATGCTTCTGGGCATATTCGAGGCAAACAGAGTAAAAGTTTTAATATGCAACATGTGCAAGGGTATTTTTACCAGAATTTTGAACACCTGGACCATTTAGTCAAGTGTTCTGGTCCTGGCCAGGGCTCTATTAACTTGTATTCTGCTGAGCGAAGTTATTCCCCTTTGCCATTCACCTTTGATAATTAATCACTGTAAATAATGTACTTGAAAGGTTAATAGAATAAGAGAATTATGCAAGAATATTTATTGTATAATACAAAAAATACATTCAAAGTTTTAATGATCAGGTAGACTTGGAAATAATAAATGAATAAAAATGAGACAAAAATAACTTATCTTTTTATATGTTCTTCAAAGGCCAAGAGAGGCCACCGTGAGAAGCAATAATATGGGGTTAAAAAATAGACATTTTGTTAATAGTCTGCATGGTAATAGTGATAAATGGGGGACAGAGGGATACTAGACCAATTATTTTGTTGATGCTGATCATACTATTTTTCTTGCTTTTGGGCAACAAAGCTTCATTTATCAGTCTATGGATCCTCTAAATTGTTGTATTGTACTCAGGTGACCGTTAAGGCCCTTGGGCCTCTTGTATCAGTACGTGGCAAAAGTATTCATAATTATCTCGAACAAGGTCAGTGAAAATTGTAGAATTTATATGGGATACATGTATATATATGGAGAACTACTGAGTGAGCAGTAAGAAATATAGATTTGTGTATTTGAACCAACTGAAACCAGAGACATCTTAAAGGGGCAAAGATAGAGATTTGAAGTGATCTCTGCAGAGTTTAACAAATTGAACACACCCGGTAGAACGTAAACTATTTTGTAAACAGGGCAAGGGCTCTGTTATTGTTAATGTTTACGTTTCACCGGGTGTTTTCAATTTGTTGAACTCTGCACACATCACCGAGCACAGACTGACAATACTGGTGAGTTGGTTTTGCTCTCACATTTCCACTCTGAATTTTCTGGAATATATCTTTAATTTTTTTCATTATTACACGACAAAAGAAGACAGCTGTGTTTGGCCTGTGATCTGCGGGAATAAGGCGTACGAAACATTTATAGTTTAAATGTCTACGATTTGGTCGACTGACCACAGAGCTCTAGGCATACTTAACAAAATCACGCGTATTGGAAAATGTTACATTTAGTTTGACATACTTTGTCAAATTTAATATATCAGTCCGCTTATCTTAATTACTTCATGTAAAATTTAGTAACGCTTCACATAAATAATAAACACCTATAGGGTATAGTTAAATGCAATTACAAGTAATAGCTTTTCAAAAAGCTTGCCTGACCAATCAATCAATATCTATGGAACGTATAAGCAAGAGAAATGCTAGAGGTCCGTCAGCAGGAAGCGACATAGTTGCGATACTTCATTACACAAGATGTACAGTTGACTTTCTCTTGAAAATCTCATAACCAAATACTACAGATTAACGAATATCTAAGACATGCCTCTATGTAATCTTTTATTAGTTAACCCACGGGCTGGGATGAAACTCTAAGTGCGCTAGAGTAGATTATAATTTTGGGAAAAAAAGTTAGATGATTCGTTGTAAAGAAATTCATATTACATGTACTCTCTTACTAGAGGGCGCGCTTCTTCATGCACACTCTCTGGTCAGTGATAGATTGATGAGACGGCCTCTTTTTATAGACTGGTCTGTTTTCCGTCGTTCTCGACGACGAAGTAAATTATGAACAGTTTTAACTGCCTTGTCTTGAAGTGTTTGAGACAAAAATGCTTCAATGCTGCTCTAGAATTCAAAGTAGTTGGACTGTACACATTATAGCTAGAGCAAAACAAGATACTAATAACACCCCCCACCCCACCCCCACCCCCCACTAGACGAAACTCACGCGCTGATGGTCTTACCATATACATGTACATGTGTTATAAATGAGTTTAAAATACATCTTTATGTACAGTTTTAAAATTGTTTAGTTTTTCTTTTCAATCGATTTCAGGGCCTTTCTCATAATTATAATAACGTGCTTTTATATGAAATGAAAACTAGAAGAGATCATGATGTCTTCTTCATTTTGCCGATTCTTTGCTTAGAACCTTACGGGAGTTTAGCCCATTCCTCTATGGGTACTGACCTACACTCTTGTCACTCACTATCCTTGTTCATCACAAAGCATGAAATAATATGCTACTGGTAGTACTTTCTAAGCTTTTTAAAAAACCTAACCTTGTAACGTACATTATTAATAAATGTAATATTGAAAGAAAAGGTGGAATACAGACTAAATCAAGAAGGGATGCCCCATTT